GTGCACATTTTAAATCAATTTAATTTGAGGTGCCTCTGCCTATATGATGTTTTGTATACCATCTATACTAACTTTTCATCCAGGAAGAGAACTCATGGGTGGAGAAATACCTTAAGAACCCTGGAATTATTGAGATTATTAACTCACCCCTTTTGGGATGATATTTCAAGTACTCCAGTTGAAGGAGGTGAGACTTGATCACAAGGTAAAAAGCCCGTATAGATCATAAGGACTCTTATGTTTTGGGATTTCACATGATGATGATGTTTATGTATATGTTTGTAATACATGTTGCATAGCAATGTTGCTGTATAATTTGTGATAATATGATGTATTTTGGATAACTTAGTTTTTTCATTGGAATAAAGTTTATAATTATGATATATGTGATTTTTTGTATTTGAGTATCATATTATGTAATTTGAATGCTCAGATGATATATATATATATGAGTTATATTTATCTCATTCAACATGAGATAAACCAAATTCCTACACACATATAACAAAGGTGGGTCCCACCTCTTTTTTTCTCTCTCTTCAATTATTTGTGGATCCCTTTTATATTTTTTTTTTACTAACATAAGATTACTATCTCTAACAACATAAGAAAAACATTTCCATATATATATATATATATATATATATATATATATATATATATATATATATATATGAGGTAGGATCTTTTGACACCAGTGTCAAATTTAAAATTTAACATCTCATCTGATAGCTGTTAGATCAAAAAAGATCAATGGTGTCACATGCTTACAAATCAGAGTTGTTGATCTTTTTTGATTTAACGGCTCTCAGATGAGGTGTCAAAAGATCCTACCTATATATATATATATATATATATATATATATATATATATATATATATATATATATATGAGTAGTGTTTATTACAATATGTGAGAAAGAAAAGTTAGTCCATTTTAATTTTTTACTATAAAGGGTAGTTGTTTTAAATTACACGGGGAAATGACAAAGTAAGACTTTATTATGATCAATTTTAAATTATTCTTTCTGCGCTTAATACCATAACGAGTTAATACACCGGGTGCACACAGGGTGTTACAGTTTTCATCAAAACTGGCTGGGTTGAATCGGTTCGCATCGGTTCTATTGCTTATTATGAAACCCAGACCGGTTATAAAACTGGTTTATCGGTTTACGGGTCGATCCGTCTAGGTCGATCTAGGTTTTTCAGCACTGGTACTGCTTATTGGTATGGGAATTGAAATGTGAAAGAAGACGAGGACAGTGGGAACAAGAGTCTAAATAGGCTGGGTCAGGCTAGACTTTGACTTAAATAAGCTAAAATTTGTGTAAAATATTTTAAACCTGGTCTGATCTGTTAGTCTGAGTAGGCCCAAATTATTAGTCTGGCCTAGCCTATATTCAAAAAACAAAAGTCTTGGCCTAGGTCTGTTAGTCTGTTTAAGTCTATTAGGCATTCAATAATTTAAAAAAATAATATTACTTTATTATTCAAAATTATTAAAATAATAAATTATTTATTTTATTTAAAATAAATAATATGATATAGATCGACTTGTAGGTTTATAGGCCTAACATGTAAAAGAAAGTCTATAATCTACTTTTTAAATAGACTTTTTATAGAGCCTAAGCATGTTCTATTTACACATATGCAATTGCCCGAACTTAGCCTGATTTAGGCTGAGTTGTAGGCACCTATTAAGCTGGCTGCCCCATTTTCACCACTAGTGGGAAACAACATAGAAGAGTGTGAGGATGTTTGTAACTCTATGTGGCACCCGATGTTTATTTTTAGTTTTTAATTCATTTTTTATTTTTAGCAATTTTCATAATATTATTCGTAGTTTGTGTTTCGGTTGTTGCGATTGCGACAACTTGCAATAAATTATAACTTTATGAATTTAAATCGAAGTTGTTTCATAATCTTCTCAATTTTTGTTATAACAATTTTCTTAATATTTATCACAATTTGTATGTCAATGTATTTGTTGTAACAACTTGTCATGAACAGTGGTGTATGAGTAATTGAATCTAGAAGAATAATAATGAAGAGAGAAATAGTAGAAGAGAAGAAAAAATTGCAAGACGAAGAGAGATCACTGTGCCGACAGAAGAAAAAATTGCAAGGAGATGATAGAGATGAGGACGGATGAAATTAGGGGAGAGAGGCAAGGCATTGAAAATTCCAGCCATCCAAGTTTGGTTGTTTAAATTTCAATAATCTCAATCTGGATGCTGAAATTTCAACTATCTCAATTTGAATTAGTTCTAATTTTCTTTTTAAAAGAAATGCGTTTATAATTTTTTTCAACAGGTTAGATAGATTACAACTTTAACTAGATATTGTAATTCCTGGTTGTTTGTTAGTTTTTCTACTGTTCTTATTTGGAGAATCCACCTCAAAAAATTAGGCCGGATTAATGTCATAATCAGTATAGAACTTACTTATGTACTAAAATTTGGGGAGAAGCATTTGGTATTGGTTGCTGAATAAATCAAATATATTTACTTTGGAGAATAAAATTAATTTACTTATTTATCCAATGACATTATTAAGAAAACAAAGAAAACTAACGTAGGGCAGACATTAAAATTAGGACCGCATAAAAAACGATAGCATTACTAATTAAATTTTTAAGCAAAGCAGAAATTTAACCAAATGCATTATAATTTTCCCAACATGATCGTCATGAAATTCAACATCAGCATGTACTATCTTATTCTGTCAGATATTTATTTTTAATCAATTGTGCTGAAATTATAAGAATTTTAGATAAGAAAAGAAAAAATAAATACTGAATTAATATAATATAATTTTGATTTAATATGTTATGCTATGATATGATTTACAAAGCACTAATCGCTATTTAAATTAAGAAAAAATGTTTCTGCCATCATAGAAGATAAAATCATCTCTTGCAACCCCAAATTAAAATGACATTGTGTTGGGGTTTGAAAGAAAAAAATATAGGAGAATTTCGCTTCTTTCTTAAAACACCATTTTTTTCTCCAAAATATCATATATATTTTTCCCAAAACCTAAAATAACATTGTTTTAGGATGTAGGATATAATTTTATTTCTTATCACAAGAGAAACACTAAATCTTTTATATTAATATTAAACTCTAAATCATAATTAAATAAAGAAATAAATAATAAAATGTAAAAAAAAAAAAAAACTATTCCTAAAAGATCATATAAAATATTGTAAACCATTCAAGATATTATGAGATATTTTTTATATTCTTACAAATTGTAGATATGGGAGCATTAATTGTTCCATGGAAGTTGGAATCTTAGTGCAATCCAACATATATAGGAATATAGAAATGGACATGGTGTTAGTTCCTACCTTCTGCTCAACAAATTAAAGAATATATCGTAGTAATATATAGAAATGGACATGATGTTAGTTCCTATACCTTCATAATAATTGTAGCCATCTCGGGACGAATTCTGATAGATTTTTTTTCAGAATAGACATCTACCTGATTCGTATTAACGTATACCTGAAACTTTGTTCCTTCCATGCTGTAATGCCTAACATCGCCACTTTTGTTTGCAGCACCTCACATGGAAAATATCTGTGCATACAAAATGTGGGACTTGCTATCTCCTTTTATGAAAGCTAGCTATAGGGCACAAGAAGTGTCGATTTTAGTTAGAAGTCACTTGTTGAATAGCAAAAACTACGTGTGTTTGTGACTTTCAGTTCCAGTATATGTTATATGAAATTGTCTATTAGCATATGCAAAGGTATTAGGTATGTGCCTTTCTAATATTATGATCTTTAGTTTTCTTCTATATGTACACTTTCATTAGTGCTTAAATTGCATTTAGGGTTTGACCGAACATATAGAAATCCTTGATATATAATATTATAGAAAAATATATATAGCTAGGCTATATATGTAGGTTGTAGCTAAGTGTTTTTGTTGCTTTTTATTTTGATTAGTTTTGGTAATCAATTGCATTGACTAATTAGTAGAGAGATAACACTCAACACTGAACCATATTTAATGCGTTCTTATCCAACTTTGTTTTTTTTTTTTTTATCTTTTCAGTTTGAGCTAGCTTAGTTGAATTTTTGATAAGTAGCTTAATGAAACTTCTCTATTTCAACAACCAACATGATTAGACATGTGGACCGTCAATCACATAAGTGATCTCAAACGACACCAGCTAGTGGATTGGAGGTTTAGTGATCATTGTTGTAGAACTTTCCAAAACCAGTCAGTGCCCCTTTTAAGCATATGCAGAGATAGTGAAAGAGATGAGGAAATTGTGGTTAGCATTATAGAGTTTGCTTAGTGTCAAATTTTTATATATATATATATGGAAACGGCTATAATTGGAACTTTTAACGCAATTGATATACACGACACATAGTTGCACACTCGTGAAAATTAGCATGCATGATATAGTAAAAGTGATATTGAATTCTTCACTGAATCACTGTCTTGCTCATGGGAGAAAGTTTAATTCAGAGACGGCAATACCAAAATAGAAATTAAAACGAAAAAATGGTCAAAGAGGGGCAAATCAAAGTGGCGTTTGGTATAGTGTATATCGTTTTAATGGAATCAAAATCAGCATGTCACAAAAAGACATAGAAATTAAAGAAAGCAAAACCAAATCCAAATTCCTCAACAATCTTTGAATTTCAGAACTAGCCATTGAGCAAAAATCCATACACAACTTACACAAGTTGATAAGAAATTAAGTTGATAAGAAATTAAGCAGAAGAGGAAAGGGGTAATTCAAAAAAAAAAAAAAAAAAATCAACAAAGGAAACTCCTCATCACAAAAAACAACTTGTGATCATTACCTTTGCAATTCCCCCCCCCCCCCCCCCCCCCCTACACACGTCAACCTTGAAACCATTCATTACTCTAGAATATATAGTTCTAACCCCAAATTCTTAACAAGCAAAAAGCAAGTCCACAAAATATATATATTCCATGGAACAACAACATAATTGTTGAGGTATTAACAACTCAATTCCCATTGGATGGAGGTGATGAACACTCACTCACAACTTCAGTTTCAACCTCTCTTTTGTGAAAGTTCCTGTGGCAACCACACGCAGCACAAGTAAGAGCACCACTTGTTCCTTCTCCACCACTTGCCATGAACTCTCTGCAACCATCAACAGCATACCCTCCAACGTTAGCAGCATGATTCTTTTGGCACTCTCCATATTTCACACTCCTAACGCTTCTTTGAGGTTCTTCTCTTCTCACAACTACTTGACGCTTCCTCATGTTATTACACTCCTTCCCCTGCTTCAAAACCTGCAAAGATTATTTTCAAAATTTAATTTTTTAGGTGGTTTGGTGAATCGAAATCAGAAACTGGCATAGAAAGAAATCAGGTATAGAGAGAGAGAGAGAGAGAGAGAGTACCTTACTTTGTGATGGATATGCAGAGCCCTAACCCTAGAATGTGTATTTATAAAAGGTAAACCTCATCACATCTCCTGCATCAATATTAAAGTTTTAACAAATAAGTGGGACCAGGTCATAATCACTTTTTTTACTCTCTTTTTTACTGTACGTACTATTATTCTATCATGTAATAATTAATTAGTGGTGGTTTTCTTTGACTTGGAAACCTTAGAAATTACTGTTGAAAGTAATTAAACGTGTAAAATGTAAAACAAGGGTAACTTTGGCAACTGACATTTTGTTTGAGTCAGGAGTTCAAATTTTATCTCAAGTAAATTTTTGAGGGCCAGGACGTGTCTCTTTATTCGAATGTGAGATTAGTCTCATTCTTCTCTCGATGGCGAAGCTCAATGCACTCGCTGTTCTAATGAGGGAGTAACTTTTGGGACCGTACTCTGAGGGCAAAGTGACCGATCGAGGAGGTTGAATTGAGATACTTCCAGATAATAGATTGTATAAGTTGCAACAGTAAAAATGCAATTAAAATTCTTACAAAAAAGTGCAATTAAAATAAAATAATAATAATGACTCATAAAACTGATATAACAGACACTCACTAATAGGGATTGATTTTTCTTTCTCTAGAAATATTTAAAGATTTCTTCTATGTTAATGACAATAAGTTCTAAACTTGATTATAAATTTTGTTTTATTTGTTTGTCTTTGAATAACCATTGGAATAATGCTTGTAATTAATAATAAGTACTGAACTTCACTTTTTTTTTTAAAAAAAATTACTTAATAATTTTAAATTAACAGTTAGTCAAGATTAAAAGAGTATAAAAAAATAACAATTTGTGGCCAGATTTGATACTTGCTATTTTGATAAACGTCCATGCATAATTTACTTTTTCTCTATTCACCCAATTCATTATTGTTTATCTTGTAACACTGAAAATCAAATCAACACAAAAATGATTCCCGCTTATAAGGAAAGGGCTTAATAGTTATGGGTTCAATTTGGAAAGCTTTTTCTTTTTCACCTAAATAGTGATGGGTTTACTTAGCAAAACAATAAAGAAGTGTTTCATTTGGAATGACCAGCTAAGCCAGATTTAAGCCTTAAACGTACTGTGGCCCCTAACTTGATAGTAAAAGGCAATTTTGTGGGGTGCATTGATACGATACCAATAACCTTTGTCTATAGCGCTTCACCTAAAAACGTGAACATGATAGGTAAGCTTTGCCAAACCTGTACGACTATTTCACAATGATTCCTTTGTTTGCATGTAGATGTAGCTATATAGGATTCATCGTTACATGTTTAGGAAAATAACTTTCATGTTTTGATCACTCATTTAATCAAAATATCGGTGGAAATTTGTCTTTTTTATCTGTTATTAGTCACTTTATATTACTATGGCTAGCTAGAAGCATTTTGGGTGTGAAAACTTCCGTTTATTGTTACCATAAACATCTAAAGTAGTTAAGTAAATTAAATTTTAGATTTCTACCAAATATTGACCAACCATTCAGTCACCTAACCTATAGTTTATTTCCTAGGCAAAAGTTAGATAGGAACACACACACACACACAAGCACATACACACTTAATCTTGCACTAAATCAATCCATGTAAAAGTTGTTAACAAATATTTTGCGTCGACATTTTGTGTGTGTCTTTTTGAGAGAAATAATATAATAAGTTTTTGGTCAATTTTTCACAATGCCGTGGATGCTGTTGTAACATTTAAATATAGAAGTTGGTGTCAGGAATTTATATCCAGCTTCATGTATATCAAGTAATCAATTTTCCTCAAAGTTTACTTTATGCTATTCGGGCACGATATACTTACTACCAAATAATTTTATCACTTCTTACGATCAAATCTTAATAGTTGATTTCTGTCAATCTGAATTAATAATTAATTAATAAATGTCATCCAATAAATTATAACCGTCAGATTGATGAAAATCAACGGTTAAGATTTGATGATAAGAAGTGGTAAACTTAATTGGTGGTAAGTGGATCCCTCCCCTATGCTACTAGGTATATAAATGATTTTTATTATGTGTCTAATTCAAAGGTATACAAATTATAGCATATTATATTCGCCATTGTCATTATAGTATGAAAGGTTATTAATTGCCTTCACCTAATTAATGAATATGAATGTAAGCTAATTTATGCAAGTAACAATTTTTCTTTATTTTGCGTCTTTAAATCTATGATATTTTTGGAGTTTTATGAGAGAATATATTTGGGTATCCGCATCTTTTGAGTCCCAGTTGTAATTTCTCTTTTATCATAAAAACAATATGTTACACCCTAATCTACAATAACAATTTGGATGCATTAAACTAGCCAAGACTTACATCATTCACCAGTTTCCACCTTTTGGGGAGGCAAGTGCGTTCGTTCACACTCAGCTAGTTATTTCTTCTTTTGCTAAAAATTATTAGCTCTGATTGCCAATTTAAAGAGTTTATTTTAAATTTCACAATATTGATGGGTGTGGCAGCAGTGCCACTTTTGATAGATTAATTAAGTGGAGATTTTAATTAGTTCAAAATATCTAAAGGGCAATATCCTAACATTTTATATATAAATCAATATTAGAAGCATACTTTGCTTATTTTTTGGGATATCTCTGCTAATCCCATAGGTTTTCTATAGACTAATCCAGAGTTTGGGACGGATCCATGATTAAGACTTTAAACTCCTCTCCTAAAGATGATACTAAGGAAAATTGAACACATATTCTCATCCTCACCTGCTCAGCTGTCATCTCTCATGCGCCAACTGAACTACTATCATTTTATACATACTTTGCTTCTATATACTTGACAATCCCAACAAAAAAGAGATTAAATGATCTTAGAGTCTTGGGCACATATTAGCTGCTTCAACACTAAAGAAGAATGTAATATAGTAAGACAAAAACTCCTAACCTTTTAACTGCTTCTGGAGTTTGGTTAGGTAATGTTGGTATGTGACATTGATGTAAGACTTCAAGTAAAAGGATTTCCTTTTTCGCTTATCCATTTTGGTTCACCATGTGAGAACATTGTTCTTCAACTGCCTCGTAGGTGCAAGATATGCCTAAATTGATCAAAAGTACCCGACACCACCATTACTCCATCTCTCTTTTTTGATGACACAAGGTGGCAAAAGGTAGTCTGGCCGTTAAAACTTTTAGGCAATATGTAAAGATTTTAACTTTAATTATGAATAATAACGAAGAAAATAAAATATCTCAACGTACTCTCAATTGAAAAACCTCTATACAATTCTGCTGTAATGTATGTTGCTTAAGAACCGTTAATTATTGTTGGATATAAAAATATCATTGACAATTGCGTGATAATAATGACTTTTAACTGTTCACTTGACTGATTCTTTTAAACGTAAAAAAGAGAGAGTTATAAATCATACTTTAATTATTTAGTTTATAGTTTCATTGTCATTGAAGTTTGGTTCTAAATAGTAATAAAATTCATACTTGAATTGCTAGTGATTGATTGTAATCTTGTTCCGCACAATTTAAGGAATATTAGCTGTGACCTAGAATTGGAAGTGTGATGTTTCAACAATTTCGTAAAATTCATTTTGGTGAAGGTGGTGGCTAGAAAAAAGTAAAAAAAACTCTTCCCTAATGTAACTATACTAAATGACCCAAAAGTTGTAGTCATGCATGAGTATATGTATCTAGGGGTGTAAATGGGCCAGGCTGGCCCAGCCCAGCCTACGGCCCGGCCTACATTGAGCCCAGCTCAGGCCCGGCCTTTCAGAAAAGTAGAGTAGGCTTAGGCTTATAAAAAAGCTTTTTTAATAAATAGGCCATAGGCCAATTTTGTCAAGCCCGGCCTACAGCCTTGTAGGCTGGCCTATTTAATTTATTAAAATAAAATAATAAAAAAATATTTATTTTATGTGACAAAGACACAAAGTACCAAATACCAATATCTCTTACTTTTTGTGCTATTTTATTTTATGAAAGGAAAACTTGTATAATGTCTCCAAATTTTACATGTTGTTGCAGCTTAATACCATGGAGCAATGGGTACCTTGCTGGATTATGATGTTACTGATGAAGATCTTTCAATAATACTCTTCTTTCCCTTGTCTTGATGGTGGTTTAAAGATTTTTAGATGAATGACATTCTCTTGTAGACTTTATTTCAGCATCCAGTAATTGTATTTTTCTTATTTTTCCCATTTCTTTGACTCTATTCCTCTATGATATACATTCTAGAACTGAGGTATTATGTTGACTCTTTCTTGTTTGTCATTTTTTTCTTATGAGAAGTACTAGTGCATTCATCAATGGAACTTTCTTTGCTCTATACAAATTTTTTTTTTTGCTTAGTATATATAGTGGGAGGCCTACAAGGCCTGTAGGCCATGTAAGGCTTTCTTATTTTTGATAATGGGCCGGGCTTGGCCTACAAATAAAGCCTTTAGTAGGCCAGTAGGCCAGATAGGCTGAATTTTTTTTGACGTAGGCTTGGGCCAGGATGGCCAAAGCCCAGCCCAGCCCAGCCCATTTACACCCCTATATGTATCGACTTCATGAATGTTAACGTAACCAAACATATTTCACTATATTTTTAAAAAACTTATATTCCTAACGTGTTTGAAAGAAGGCAATAGAATTCGCAAGGGTATGCATCGGAGCACTGAACTCGGTGTTCCCTTTTATTATAAAGGGAAAAAATTTCTCCCTTTTTTATCCATATTTTTTTATATTTCCCTTTAAGTCCTAAAAGTTTTCTCTTTTTAGTAAAAGGTCCTGGTGCAATGAAGTTTTTCTCCTATGTGAGCGGGGATATATGTTTAGTTCTTGGTCATAAACCTTGGTGTTGGGTCCACACTT